ATTATATTTTAGATTTTTTATATTTTAAAATAATATGTTTATTCTTTATTTGATTATATTTATTCGTAGTTAGTTAAACGAATTCAAATATGAAACTTTAATAAGTTGTACTTATGCATAATTTACTTGTAATATGAATTTTAAGTAATATGCATCAAAATACAGTACTTCATGCATAAAAAACAGTTTTTAAAAGTTTTTGTCAAATGCTTTATAATATGGTATAATTATAATCTTTTTAATTATTTACATATGAATTTTTTTTTAATATTATTTATTTTTATTTAAAATATTTATCTTTTTATTTAAATATTAAAAAAAAAAGGGTTTGTAGTCTTACGAGAGAATTGAGAGCACCAGCTTTGAAATGGTGTGGAGAGTTCTTGTTCTTTTCTCTGGATACATACACCAGATTTGGCATTGAATTTCCCATTTTGTCCTTTTCCTTCACACTCTCTGTCAATACCTATCTCCAAAAATACATTTAATCCATACCATTCATCATTCCAACAATACATGATTATATACTATATTTAGAAAGTTTTAAGAGGATTGTTTGACAATTGCTGAAGGATTTAGTGCATAATGATTAAGTGGTCAGAATGATAAAGAGGCTCTCATGATATAGTGCAAAATGAAATATAATTGTTTGATAATTGTGTACAATGAAATTAGGGCTCTTAATGGTTATGGGAGATTCAGGATACAAAATCATTCAGAGGGTTTTAGAACCATTAAGAGACAAACTTTTTTTTTGCCAAACAAGATTCACCTCTTAACGGTTCAGAGGTTGCCTCTTAATGGAACTATTAAGAGGTAAACAAACAACTCCTAAATAAGGTAAATATGGTGAGAACAAAATACCAGTAAAGATTCACATGTGAATAATTGAAAAAATTAAGTTAAAGATAATTATCTGTAATGTTGATTCACATGTGGATATTTAAATAGTTTCTTTTGGAGTTTTTCGATAGTTTACATGTGAACCTTCTGTTCGTATCTTCTCATGATAATTAACTTTCTTTATTTGATGTATATGGTATCTGTTTTTAATGATAAAGGTGTTTTTTGTCTACATGACATTGGGTTGGTTTTTACATCAAATTGGAATTGAAACTGAGAATAAGCGAAATTATCCTTCTTGTTGATTCAGGGATTTGCCATTGAGTTACGCCCTTGTCGTTAACTAAGGGGCCGTTTACTAAATACTTATCCGGTAAGTGCTTACTGGTAACCAAAGGGCATTTGGCCTAGCGGTATGTGAGTCTTTGGCCTTCTAGGAGGTCAAGGGTTCAAACCTTACCAAATGTGAGGAGGATGTGTGAGTTTATTGGTTCTATTTGCCGTATATAAATATTATATACTTAAAAAAAAGTGTTTACTGGTAAAATTTAACACTATTATTTCTCACCGGATAAGATTTAGTCCATCAAAACGACATCGTATGCAACAATTTGGTAAGAGTCGTCGCCCTCACTTACCGGGTAAGACTCTTGGTCCTTATCTTGCTCTTACTGGGTAAAATTCTTGGTCTTTACCATATATATCCGGTGAGGTAATGTTACTTGATAAGCGCTTACCCAGTAAATGTTTGGTAAACGACCCCTAAGATAAACTTTATAATTTTTTTTTATGTATAGTTCATATAACGTCTCCTTATTTAAATTTGAATGGAAGAGAAAGAATGCCTGAATAATAGGTGGGTGGTGTGAACGACTAAACCCTGGTGTTCGGTACTTGTTGAAAGCTTGCCGTTGTAGTTCAGTGGTGATGTATTCGGGGGATACTTCACCTCTTTCGACCACATTCTCAACTCTTATTTTCATTCCCTCGTATATCACCTACAATAACAACAGAAAACCATAATTATCAACCGTCATCTAAAAACGAAAACTATGTGGACCCAAATCTTGATAAAATATTACTAGAAATGAAAAATAAGTTAGAGATAAATAACACATGAAACAGAAAATTTCACAGAAAGAAAAAGGGTAAAGTTGTCTCTTTCAAGGAGGAATAAAAATCCCTTTGCGGGCACGAATGCTCAAATGCAGTGACTACGGGCTATCTGCAAAGCAGATGGTCGCCTTGAGATTAGTCGGCTCGCATAGCGAGTTGGATATACAGGTTAATAAAAAAAAAATCTAACACAGTTACTTTTTCGATTCTTTTTATCGCATAAAAAGAAAAAAAAAGATATTTCATATCGTGACTAGATATACACACAGAAAAAAAACCGTCATTTCCGCAACAAAAAAAAAAACCAGTCCTAATAAGCCGGAATCACCGTGTCCAAGCCAAAAAAAATATATTCAAGACCGTAAGAAGCACATCGTAAAAATCTATATCGAACCTCTTTTTACACCCAAAACTCAACGTATACATTTTCTTGATGAAAATGGACTCGACTGGCGTGGACCTAGTCCCAAAAAGTCACAAACCTTTTGCACCTTTTTTTATTAACCTGAATATCCAACCCGCTATGCGAGCCGACTAACCCCAAGACGACCATCCGAACATTTCATTTGAACCTCCATGGTCACAAGAAGATTTTTATCTGATATATGTATCTTTCTTTATATAATTAGACTTTTATAGCACCATAAATATATTATTATATAAATTCATAGACAAAATTTTATCATCTTAATAAAAAATAACATAAGGAATTTGAACTATATAGAAGATAATTTTTTTTAATTAGCACGTGGTGAATAATTTTATCTCCTAGTGTGATAAGATCTTGCCTACATAAATAATTAATTAACACGACGTCGTTGAATGGAAGAAGAGATGAGGTGTCATATTTTAATCAATTATTGAATAAATATATAATTTTTTATTTATAAGAAAATTACATTAATTTAAAACAACGGTTTATATCAAAACCTTTTCGTACCGTGCATGAATTTAATTGTATATTTAATATTACGTTCTCCATTTAACTTTTAGGTTTTTTCGTCACGGGAGATCAACTTGTTTTTGTGAGATTTATGAAATCATTTTTTTTACATTTAAAACTTTATAGTAAAACACTGTGATGGTAACCTTACATCCACAGTGTTTTTGTTGTAAAGTTTCGGATATTTTTACATTCACAATGTTTTGCTATGAAATTTCAAGCATAAAATGTAGTCTCATGAAAACAGGTTGGTCTTATGTGAACTTAACTCAATACACACACACAAATATATATGTAGGTGAACGATTGTGTGAGAATGAAAGTTAAGATAAGAAGCGTAAGAAGGGATCTGGACCTCTGATCTATTTTAATCTCAAACACACTCATGAGCATTTGATACATTGAAGCATCTCTACCTAGTATGTATCAAAAGGTGGAGTTCCTTTTTTACACTTCTCACCTTACTCTTCTTCTCATCGGAACCCAACCCTTTGGGATCATGTGAGATCAGATTGTTTTTGTGAGAATCATGAGATCACTTTTTTATTCATGAAACTTCACAGCAAAACACTGTGAAGTGAAGGTAACTTTCACAGTGTTTTTGTTATAAAAGTTCAATTTTTTTTACCTTCGGTATGTTTTTTTGTGAAATTTAAAGTGTAAAAATATGGTCTTATGAAAATAGATTGGTCTCATATAAACCCAACCCTATATGTGTGTGTATGTATATGAAGCATGTTATTTACAAACTCCGTAAACCATACAAATTTACAAACAAGTTTTCATGTAATATTTCGGATATGAAACATACGTGAAAATGCAGTGTTTATATAATTTTGTTTCACATGTGAAACGTTTAAAACTATTGTGTAAACATTGGATTCTCACATATGCAGACCCATTCCTGACATTTTTTAGGCCCTGAGCGAGATGTAAAAAAGGGGGCCCTTGATAAGTACGATATTTTTTCAATATATTGTTTTTATCATCATAAATAACATTGAATTCATATAAAACCGTTTTTCCGAGTATTTCTGGACGCAAAGTCAATCAATACTCATTTCTAAATTAATATTATCTACTAGAACAATTTTATGTAGTATCAATAATTTGTTTCGTCATCAAAAACATCCTACAATACACTTTTGGTACATAAAATGATATCATTTGGGATTACAAAGTGGATTCTTCTGATTTCCGAGTGACACTATGTAAAACAATATAAAAATGTTGGTTTTCCATGTCATCTCGTGTTAATGTTTTTTAACATCATTTTAAACTTTTATATTATGTTTTCAAATTTGGAAAGATTAACACTATTTTAAACTTTTATGTTATGTTTTCGAATTTGAAAAGATTAACACCATTTTTAAACTTTTATATTATGTTTTCGAATTTGGGAAGGAAAGAAAGAATGAGAAAGGAAAAAAAAAATAAAAGAAAAGAAGAAAAATAAAGTTTTTTATTTGTGTTTTTAATAAAGAATAGAGAGGAAGTAAAAATAATGAAATAAAAATAAATTTTGATATAATTTTTTTTCCTTTTTTTTCTTTTCCCTAAAAAAATCTCGAGAACATAATATTTTTCTTCCCCCATTACTTTCCTCTTTTTCCTACGTAAAAGAAGACTCAAGAACATAGAGTTAGAGTTAAAACAAACTTTTCTTGAATCCTCGATTATATAAATTAAAAATATCATGTTGGTGATAGTTTGAGATCTTATTCTTTTTTTAGAAATAGAATAGTACATAAGATTTATAAACTCAATATTAGATAATAAAGAACAACTATTAAAAAATTATAGTTTTATTATTCTAAATATAAATATAAGTTGTACCGTCTTATATAGTTGGTACTTTTTTCAAAAGATGGGGATTTTCTTAGCTAATAGCAAGAAAATCAATCATATTCTAAAATAAAAATAGAATTCACATGACAATAGAACAATCAACAGAGTCGATAGAAGATAAATTATAGAGAATATATCAAAGTTTTCGAAGCAAGTAGTTTTAGACATCGGTTTTAGATTAAAAAAAACTTAGAAAAACATTAAATAATATTATATAATGAACGACAGATTAACCTATTTATGTATTTTTTTTCTTCAATATATTTAATGCATACATGTTTGGGTCTTTAATAGTTAATGTAGTATAAAAGTCATTTCTTGTCATATTAGATACTAATTTTTTTTATGTGTCTTCTATTTACTAAATTTTTTAAACTACTATTATATATATTCCCCTATTTTTTTAATGGGCCATGGGCGTACGCCCGGCCCGCCCTCCCCCAGGGACCGCCCTGCACGTATGTTTCATACATGAATCAACATATGAAACAATACATGTGAATTGGTTTTCATGATTTATAACATTCTGAAGGATAAGGCCCCAATGGGGTCCCCTGGTACTCCGAGATACTAGAAATTATAAGAGATATCAGCAAAAAAAACTACAATTTTTTTCTCGAAATCAACAAAAAAACTAAAAAATTCCATCAAAATCAATTAAAAAAACTTTAAAACCCACTCGAAAATCAACAAAAAACTTATAAAATTCCTGGTAACGGTTGAAATTGGCTAAAAAGACATCAAACAACTTTGCAGCATAAAAGTACACCATCTTCACCTTTGGTGAGGTTTGAACCATTGACCTCCTAGAAAACCAAAAACTCACATACCGAGAGGCCAAAGGCCCTTTGGTTAGATCTGAAAATTTTGTAGTATAACCAAAGGGCCTTTGGCCTAACGGTATGCGAGTCCTTAGCCTTCTAGGAGGTCAAGGGTTCAAACCTCACCAAAGATGAGGAGGGTGTTTGAGTTATTTGTTCTATTTACCATGTATAAATATTATATAATTCAAAAAATAAAATTTTGTAGTATAAAAATCTGAAATCAAGTGTTACCTTAATATCCTCACTCCCGGGCTCTGGCCTTGCATGGCGGTCCAAGCTAAAATACGCTTCTGGGCATCTATCCATGATGTTATTATCCCGACAAAACGGAAGCCAAATCTTGGCAAACTTTGCAGCCTCCATGAACGCAAAGAGAGTAAGCTCAGACCCACCGTCGTCGGAAACATACACAGATATCTTTTCCGGTGGGTAGTCATAAGCCATAAGAGACAACGCCGTGTTCGTCACGTTCATGGGCGGCTCCTTGTAGGGATCCGCCGTGCATATGAATATGTCCATGGCCGGAAAGTCTGTTCTGTCGACCACTTCCTCTAGATTTTCAGGGTAGGTTTCCCGGAGAATGGGGCGGAGGCGGAAGGAGGTGGTGGTGGCCCACATGAAGGCGAGGATGAGGTCGGAGATTAAGAAAGAGGCGGTGATGGTGGCGGAGACAACGGTGGTGGAGTGGCGGAGGAGGGTGAGGAAATGGTGGTGGAGAAGAGAGAGGATGGCACAAGTGTAAATAATTGCAAATACACGGTTGAAGTGCGTGCATGGCACGTGCTTGTATGTGTGAAGATGTCCTCCTCCCATGTTCTTCCCTTTATCTGTGGAGATATTATTCGCTCGTTATCGCTATTTATAAGCGCGACGCTCACTCTTTGTGCCATCCTCTCTCTTCTCGTTATCGCTATTTATAAGTGCGTGCATGGCACGTGCTTGTATGTCTCTGGAAATATTGTATCTATATTTTATATTGTAATACAAAATATCGTAGATTTTATGTTTTAATTTATATATATATTTTACAACGTTTTGTTATAAAGTTTCAAAAGTGTTTTCACAGGTCTCACGAAACGAAGTTGGTCTTACGTGAATCCAACCGTATACACATGGGCGGACCTAGTTAGGTGCCATGGGTGGCACGTGCCACCATATCGTTTCTCCGCCAAGGGTAAAAAAATTAGGTTTTATGAACGCTGCAACCGTATTAATTTGTTGTGTGCCACCGTATGTATTTTGAAACTA